TATAGTATACCGTGTACTAGGAATCTATATAGAATTAATAGATAAAATAGTAAGGAAAAGGTCTTTTTTATTATATAGTAATAGATTTATTATTAGTAGAGCTATTATAGTTAATAGAGGTCGTATTGTAAAAAGTTAAAAAGTGCGCGACTTGCTTACCTGCGCGGCTTGCTTACCACCTACGTTAGTATATATTATACTAACTTATTTTTTATATACTTATATTTATATATAATTTTTTCTATTAGTTTCCGGAGTTTAAGGAAATAGAATATTCTTGCAATTCTTTCCTATATTTTTTCTACTTCCTAGTGCCTATACACCGGTATACTATAGAACTTTTTAATAAGCTTTTTTTATAGGGTTTTAGGTATAAATATCTTATTCTATAAATATCTTATTCTATAATATAATAATACCGTTTTAGATTTCCCTTTACTTTTAATTTACAGGTTTAAGGCGCATGCTTTACTAGTTATAACCTGCTAAATCCCGGCTTTCCTAATTATTTTTCTATACTGCCTTAATTTGTTCTTTCTACCTATTATCCTTAGACCGGTAAGTAGCTACTGCTTGCGTATAGTTAAATTTAAAGGTTTCTAGACTTTTCTTCCTAAATATAGATTACCTGGCTTTTCCAGCTCCTTTTATATAGTCCGGCCTTTAGCTTAATATATTTATATAAGCGTCTTTAGATCCTTTTTAGTATATAATCCTAAAGTTAAAGGTTTTTAGTTTCTCTAACTATTTTACTTATCTTCTATTTAACTCCTTAGTTATAGTAAAGTATATTAGATTTTTATAGTCTATATATACCTATATTATATATACTGCTTTTTTAAGGTAAACTTTCTACTAGCTAAATACTTCTACTATAGCTAGCAGTTCCTTATTATAGATATTATAGTTTAGCTTAGCTAGGCTTAGCTTTTATAAGTAGAATGCTATAAGGTGCAACTTCCTTTATTTATCTAGTTAGTTAAGCATCGCTCCTAATACTTTATCTAATATATTACTTCTAATATACTTTATAAGCGAGCGGGCCACCTAAGTAAGCGGGCTACCCTATTACTAAAACGCGATATAAAATATAAATTGCTTTACAACGCTAATAGATATTAACTTAATATAACTTGCAGTCTAATCTATAATAATTTCCTTATCTTTTTAATATATATAAGCGTTATATTCTATCTTACCGCAGCGCCTACAGCACGCTTACTACTATATACTTCCACCTGGGCGCCTTCTATTTTAACGCATTTCGCCCTTAATTTGTTTATTAGCTTCCTTTTAAGTAATTATTTCAGAGCCCTATACCTTTATTAGGACTTCTTACCTCTAAATTTGCTTTTTTTTGCGCTCTCTACGCTTTATAGCGGCCTTATTTACCTTTTAAAGGCTTATAACCTAATCGCGTAATAATATAGCCCTATATATCTATACTTTAGCGCCTTTAATAGGTAAATTAAGCGACTTAAGAATTGTAGTAGAAGAGCTATTTTAATATATTTAAATATAATTATAAATTAATGCTAATTAAGAGCCTAGCTTAAAAGTATTACTTAGTGTTTTTAATTCCTATTAAGCCTCTATAGCGGCAGGCAACAGCGTATAAAGTATAATATTAAGCTTTAAAAGTACTGCCTCTAGATTAAGCGGTATAAGGCCAGCGCCTTAAAAGCTTATACAGATATTGCTTTTTATAAATAATTTGTTAAATACTGCTCTAAAAGCTGGTAGGAACTTAAGCTTTATAATATAGTTGATGTAGTTGCGTACTAGATTCTTAATTTGGCGACCGTACGCTTTTTTTAACGGCGTAAAACAGCCTATATTAAGCGGCTGTAATAGATATAAAGCGTGCGGCGGCATATATAGCATAATAATATTATTCTTCTTATAAAGCTTTTTAAATTTAAGTAAGTTATAGCTTTTATAGCCGTCTAAAATAAGCAGGTAATATATACCTATAGTGCGGTCCTTTATATATATATTAAAATATTGCAGCTATATAATACTAAGCTTATTTATTGTCCAGCTATTATTATTTACTACTATAGCCTAGTCTAGCAGTATATTGCTGCCCTTATACTATATAGAGAGGTAGTACTTACCCGTAAGGATAATAAACAGCGGGATTACCTACCTATAAGCGTTAATAGCCTTAATTACAGTAGCCTACTTATAATTGCCTAGTTATATAGCTTTTAGTTAATTTTATTTTTCGGAGCCTGTAATAACTACTCCTATTAAAATAACACCTATCTAGAAGCCGGTTTTATTAAAGTTATAGAAGTTATTATCTATAATACTGTACTTCGCCTTTATATTATATATAAGCTTAAACCACAGCGTAATAATTCTTAGATCTTTATATAGAGCTTTCTAGTAGTTATACTTTTAATTAAACTGTGTTTAAAGCTTATTAGTCCGCTTAACAAAGTTATATAGCCAATTCTTGCCAACCTAGCCGGCACCGCGCTTATCTAGCAGCTTATTAGATATATTTTATACAGCACTTAACCGCGGTACAAATCCTCTTAAATCTAGGTTAATTATATATTAAATAATAACTAATTCCTCTAGCTTTATAAGCTTCTTTAAATTGGGCTCGCAATCGCGTTAGGAGGTTGTTCCGGCGCGTTGTTATTAAAGCGTGCTTCTAGGGACTTTAAAGGTTATTACAGTTTATCGCTCGCTTTAAATTTGGTTTTTATTAATTGCTAAGATAGCTAGGTATATTAGGCCTTTGCTTTAGACTAGTTGCGCGTTATATTATTAAGGTATAATAGTTAAAAGTTAACAGAGCGCGTTTTAGTAATAGAGTGGCCTGCTTACTTAGGTGGCCCGCTTGCTTATAGAGTACGTTATATTAAAATTAAACTATTTAAAATACAGAATATTATTAGCCTAGTAAATTATAAGCTTAGGCTATTTAATAGAATAAAAATACACCCGGTTTTCTATATATTACTACTAGAACCCGTACTACTTAATACTAAGCTAGAAAATAATATTAAGGTTAATAATAATAATAAATATATAGTTAAGCAAATCCTAGATTCCTAATAAAATAGTTAGGGAAAAAAGTACCTAATTAAGTAGAAAGGATATAGCACTTCTAAAAATATATAGGAACCGGTTAAAAGTTTAGTAAACTATTAGGAACTCCTGTAGCAGTTTTACTGCTAGAATTTAGAATAGCCTAGAATAATAGCAATATTACGCTAGCTAGCTAGAAAGGATCTAATAGATTAAAGAACCCGGCAGAACTAGATACCTTAAAGGAAAGCGAGGCTTCCCTCTTAATATACTTTTATTCTTTCTGCTTAGCCTTTTTTTTAATTATCTTCCTTAAGCTTTTCTAGAGTTTTAAAGCCGTAATATATTATCTCTTCTCTATACTTATATAGTAATTCCTTTTAGAAATCTAGGTAATTAAGCTTTACTATAGCTGTCTTTAGAACTGTATAAATTTCTAACTTTTTATAATAAAGTTTATCCTTTTTATAAAACAGTTTTTACCCTATAAGGATTAGTAAAAAAACAGATATATATAATAGTAGACTATACTAACTTATAGGTAGATACTAAAATGCCGGCGATATTATAGTTTAATTATTGCGCCCGAACGTAGGCCGTATAATAATTAGAGTTAAATATAGAAACTATACAGAATAAACCCTAAAACTTGCACTAGGAATAAGGTATAACTTTTAAACTAAATATATTAATATAATCTATAAGTATAAAACAGCTTTTTTATTTCTTAGCTTTTAAAGTATTAGATATTATAAAAAAAGAAATAAAATAGCATAACAACAGCCTAATAAGTAGGGCATCGCCAGCTATTTATCTAAGACCCTACTATAGAAATACTTTTAGGCCGAAAGCTTTAAAAGGGGGAATAAGTATTATAACCTATAATATAAACTATCTAAGCGCAGAGGTACTTATAGAGATAAGTAGATAGATTAAGTTAATTATATAGGACTAGGTTATAGAACTAAAAGGGTTATATATAGAATATATAGGGATTCTAGATTCCCCTATAAACTACTAGTAGATAAAAATAATCTAAAAATAGAGTATTATAAAGGCAAGGCTATATAAAAGCTTAAGGCTATAAGCTAGAAAAGCGCTTAAAAAGCTTAAGGATATAAGCTAAATAAGTAATAGGTTTCTTAGAATAAAGCTTTTATATATAAAAACGCTCCTTTATATAAATAGGAACCTTATATTTAACTTAAGACTTTAATACTACCTATTAGAAGTAATAACCCTGTCTTATACCTAAGATTAATCTTACCTTACCTTTTAAAGACTATTATATCCTAATAATAACTTAACCTATACCCTGCCTTAGTATATAGCACTTAGAAGGTATAGAAGAGATAACCTATTTATACTAGCAGGATAGCTATTACAGCAAAATATTGCATATTTATATTAAACGCAATCCTTTCTCTAAGCCTATACCTACTTTTCTACCTTAAACGCCCTTTATATATATATCCGCATAAGATTATAAGCGCTTTAAGCTCTTAGTTAAGCCCTCTATAGAGCCTGTTAACAACTTCTACACTAAGTATATATAAACCGCCCCTCTTGCAGCTAGCTAGGTGCGCGCCGGCGTATTACTAGACAATTTTCTCGCTGTTAATAATATAATTGTATAGTGGAATAATTAATATTATACTTAGCCGGACCTTGCCCGCTTTATATTAGACGTCCTTGCCGTACCGCCAATAAGCGATAAATGTAAGAGGCTATTCAGCAGCGCATCTATATTGCTGGATAAGCGTAGGAGACGCCTTGGAATAGATATAATTGAGGCAAATGAGTGCCTACGGTTATCCTACGGCCCTCAGCCTACGGATGCATTTGATGATGCAGAGCACGCCGCGTCGCTTAGTGCATCGCGAGTATTACCAGCCTCGTTGGCCGAGCAGGCGGAGAAGCGATTGAGGGCATCACAACGCGAGGAAGCAAACGCCATGGCCGACGACGGCGACAACGAGGCGCTGTCGGAGCAGGAACTACGTGAGGCCGAAGAGGAGGCTATATTAGAGGGCCCTGCACCACCTACTAATGTTGTAGATGCAGATAAGGATAATATAGTGTTGAGTGATGGCTCGGGATCGCAATTTAGGTAGTAGGTTTGGTCACTTCTCACCCTCAACTTAGCCCACGCTAAGCTACTTTAGGCAATATACTCGGCTTCAACACCTTACAAATCACTAGCGTGGAGCCCCTGTAGCTCCTGGAGCTCCATAGCGATTCCGCTGGGTTGGAGTGGATTTGAGGCCAAACCCAACCCGCTCCAGTCCAGTTCCTTCACTGACAGCTGGCAGGCTGCCCAGGTGCCATTGCCACTTCCTAACCGCCGCATACACCGTTAAGCTAAAATAAGAATAGAAGAATATCCTACAGCCTCAGCACTTGGAAACTTATAAGAGTTCGTTACAAATACTGCTTTAGAAAGTCCGTTAAGGAGATATCACTTTCATACTCTCACATCCCTCCCCTCGGGTCTTCACTATCCCTTCCATTTTCGATCCCTCGTATTCTCTCCATTGTCAAGAGATCTAAGAGCATGAGGGCTGATCTATTAGCCTACAATGGCAGAGGCTTTTCTTTTGGAGTCCAAGAAGTCTGTGCTAGCATTAATCAGACCCTGAATTGCAACGTTTCATTTATGGACAACTCGGATATCGCAGCGAAGTTTAGCGGCCATAGTAAGATCAAGACAGACGCGGGCATTGCGGGCCTTGGAGTAAGTCTTCCCACAATTCCTTCGCTGCCAGCTAGCCTTTTAAACTAGGGTCCTAACTCTACTCGTCGCGATTAGATTTACATCGCGCTACTTGTCCAAGTCTTCGGAATTCTCTTCCTAGCTATTATCTTCGCCTTATGGGATATTCGAGGCCAAAACAGACGTTCGCACTATCAGCTGCTCTTTGCCTTCTCAGACATACTCACAATTCAAGACGTCGTATACATACTCAACTGTATCCTGACTGGGAATTGTGACTTGACGACCTATCACTACTTCGTTGCGCTGGACTCCTTACTTATCTTCTGCTCCACCATGGTGCTATTCTTCGTTACCTCAAGACATCACTACTGGCAAACCCTCAGGGGGGCGGTCCGATTCTTGGCCACTCTCACCGTCTTCTGCATACTCAGCATCTTCATAGGTTACGAGACATTCAGACATTGGACAAGCGCTCTCCCGGACTGAAAGGCCCCAACACTCAGTAATAACGACAGTACCCTCCTTACTCCCCGTATCTTGTTTCCTAGACCCCGATTTGATCAGCCGCGCGGAATTCAGAAATCCATATGCCTCGAACTAAACCACGACCGACACTCAGCTAGAGCGAATAGGACAACCTGTTAAAACTTGCACGCTTCCCGAAATCTGGATATTTTGGATCTTGACTCTGTGTTTCGTTCTAGGAGCGACGACGTGCTCCTGCCTGGCTTCGCGTCCGCTTAAAAACCAGCAATCAGAGAAATCAAGGAAGTATTGGCCGATCATGTGGCTTACCCTCGCAGTTTGCATCGTCACCGACGTATTCTGTGCATGGTATATCGGAAGTCTTAGAAGGTGGGCCAGCAAATCGGGATGGCTGGAAAACGGCGAGGAGGGTGAGATGTCTCCTTTCAGCCAGCTGATGGCTGTCTTGATATTAGTGGGTTTTGCCTTCGCTTTGATCGACCATGTACCACTCAGAGGGGTCAAGAGATATGTGACTATTGCTAAACGTCGCGGTTACGCAAGGGTTTGGCTTCCGCAAATCTGGGAGATGCGCGTATGAAATTCTTTCTTTACTTTTTCTATTTTGTGTCACCACTTTTGGATTTCTTTGTTCTTGTCCTTCTCTGTTCATCTTACCATCAATTTTCTTTTGCCTTCCGTGTGCGTATTTGATGTTTTTTCATGGCCTATTCAGCTTGGCCATAGCTCAGGTTGAACCACGAGCAGCTCAATTACCTAAACGGGAAAGTAAAATGCTACTGCACAGATTTCGGTGTTGTACTATATGCTATAGAACGAATGGATAAACCAAAAGATGATCAAGCCGATTTCCAGTAGCTGCATTATCCTAATAAGCCTGATTTTCTACGATCCTCACACCCCTTTCCCCCGCAAGCACCAACTGCACCCTCCCATCATTATCAACCACCTTGACCAGATGCTGCAACGCCTCCAACGTCTGAATCCCCGCAGACGTATTCTTGAAAACTCCCTTCTCCTTCCCGAGTGTCTCCGACCCCAGTGCTAGGACCTCTGTACTCGTGTGCCAGCTGCTCGAAGTCACGCGCCCATATCGGACACTATAAACGCCACCCAAACAGAAAGCGAAAGCACGACGTACGCGAGTAAGATGGCGGTGGAGAAGAACGTGCCCGCCGGCGAGCGGATATAACAGTATGCGTAGCCCTGCACGTCGGTGTCCATGTGCATTTTTAAATACCGGGATTGCTGTGCGGGTGGGATATCGTATGCATTGGTGCCGTGGTCGAACGCGCGCTTAGGACCAAGATACGCCACCAATTAGGGGTGTAGCTGTCCGTGGCAGTGTTGAAGCCTTTGACTATGCCTTGCACCGCAGCGTGGGGATCCGTCCGCGCCATGCCGCTTGCGATGAGGAAGGAGAGGGTGGCCTCGATCTGGAATGGGAATGCGGATCAGTTGTTGGTTGTTGGGTCCCAAGGCCCGATGGTAGTCATCATTTTCTCAAAGATGGTGGTGTTTAGGCCTTGAATGGTTGGGTTGAGGTCGTTGAGCCAGCTTGTTTGGAGGAAGGCTCGCAGGCTGGTAGGTGAGAGGTTCTTGAGGGGATTGTGGTCAAGAGTTACTGTGATTTCGCTTGTGCTAGAGTACCTCCCTGTCATGTATTCAACAGCGATAGAGCATCCAACTGCGATGAGATCGGCTGAAGGAGTTTTGGAGAGCGTGACGAGAGCTGCTGCGTTATAGCCGCCTGAAATGTCAAGATCGGAGATGTTTTGTGCACAGACCCAGTTGCTGCTGCCATCAGTCCAGTGCACTGTCGACCGGGTGTTGGTCGCGGAGTCGTTTTTGACCCAGGCTTCTATCGCTTCGTTACCGCATTGCGCCGTTGAATCGTAAGGCAAGTAGTCCAAATTGACCTGTGGGAAAGGGACACAAGCCCGGGTCGTGCCAGAATCGACCCTTGGACTAATACTCTACATTCGAGTGATCCTAGAGCCGCGAACGCCCTCCCGCGGACCCGGAAGCGTAAGCCCAAAAGGAGCTAGCTATATATAGAACATGTACTACTCTAGCATGTGGCATTTGCACAAGCGAGCTCTTCTCAATTGGCGGATTGTGGATCCCGGAAGGCTGGAGGCTGAAGTATGGCTTCAAGGTAAACTTTTTCGCAGGTATTGAGATCGAATCGTAAGGTGCAAGAGGACTGGGCACCCGCCAAGGTAACTCAGACGTGATTCTTGGCTGGTCCGAGAAGTAGTAAACCCGTAACCAGTCGCCTATGGATTCCCAGCCTGCAGACGGGCAATAGTCGTTTCCAACATAGTTGCACGCGAGGGTTGGAAGTGTACTTATATTGAAAATTGGAGGGGAAAGCCGGTCCATGGTTATATTGAGCCAGATATTTGTGCCTCCTGCTGGCCAGTAGTCTAGCTGAGGTACAAGCAGTGTCTCCAGAGCACTCGCCTCACGTAGCTGGAATATGCACTTGGCCGCGCCCCTTGTAGATCTGGAGGATAGTGTCGAGAACACTTCATCATACTTCTATAAATCCTCGTAATTTTTTGGTGCATGCTTTGGACGCTTGTCTCATCCACAGGAAACTCCTTGTGCAACACTTCCCGTTCCTCAACCAAAGCCTACCCACGACCACCTCAGAAATGGCTTCTTATCCCACGGACATACTCCAGCTTTTCGCCTTAGAACCGCATGCTCCGGACTTGTGGTAGATGTCCCGACTTTATGTTTCCTCTCTATCTCCGCCCGGCCCTGTCATCCATGAAACACCACAGTGAGCCGTTCCCCGCTCGGCTTGGTCCACAAAATGGTGCAATCCCGTGATGCTATTCTACGGGCAGCATGTGCGTTGACTTAACTCAACAACTTTTTGATGAAGCGTACCTTAAATCTTTGCGTTCCTGCGCTACTAGTCTAAAGTACCAACCGCTGCTTGGCTAGCAAACTGTAGACTTGTAGAGCCCTTCTATTTTTAATATTGGGTAGCATATCCTTGCTCAAACGATTTGCGCCTTGCACTATTGTAATTGGTTCGCTCGGCTTATCGTCAGTGTGATTGGTTCCCTCAGGTTTAGTAGCGGCACATCAACCTCAACTGGGCAGACCGCGCGTCGTAACCTTTTCTAAGTCGCCACCCTTCGCTTATAACTTGCTGTTCTCCTCACAAGACTGTATGATTTTTCTTCACATTATCTAATCGAACGCCTTGTAATCCATTGTTGAAAGCATAATGGGTAGCACCATTTCACAGATCTTCCCGCCGAAGCCTAAGTTCACGGAGAAAAATCTCCCGAGCCTCGAAGGAAATGTGAGTCCACCTGCCTTGTGGAACTGAAATCAGAACCCAGATTGGGAGCTGACTCCCCCGCTTCACAGGTCTATATCGTCACAGGCTCAAACACAGGAGTGGGCAAAGAGCTCGCTCAAATGCTGTATTTGAAGAACGCCAAAGTCTACATAGCAGCGCGATCCCAAGAAAAAGCAGAAGCAGCCATCAAGGACATAAAGAAAGCCGCACCAAATTCAGAAGGCTTACTAGTCTTCCTGCACTTAGATCTCAATGACTTAACCACGATCAAAGCTTCAGTCGACGAGTTCCTGGCCGCCGAGACCAGGCTTCACGTTCTCTTCAACAACGCAGGAATCATGTCGCCGGCGGCGGACTCGCCCAAAACTGCTCAAGGTTATGAAATCCACTTGGGCGTGAACTGTGTCGGTACCTTCCTTTTCACGAAACTTCTTACTCCAATCCTCGTCGCGAGCGCAAAGACCGAGGCCCCGGGGATCGTCCGTGTGGTTTGGGTATCATCTAGCGGAACAGAAATAGCTGGCGTGAAATCGCTCGGACTGAACCTCGACAATCTAGACTATCACATCCCAGCGGAAGGCATGATCAAATATGCGTTGAGTAAAGCGGGGAATTGGCTCCACGGCGTCGAGTTCGCGAAGAGATACCAAGCCGACGGCGTTGTGAGCATCCCGCTGAATCCTGGGAACCTAGCATCAGACCTTTATCGGCAACATGGACGGTTGTTCTCGATTTTCGTGGCGATGATAACATACCCTCCGATTAACGGTGCCTGGACGGAATTGTATGCTGGGTTGTCGCCAGAGATTACGCTGGCAAACAGTGGAAGCTGGGGTAAGTGCTCACTACCATTGTTTGCGACATTGACGCCAAGGAGCACGGTTCGCTGACTAGCTTTCAACCCCTAGTCGTACCTTGGGGTCGCATCTTACCGATTCGAAAAGACCTGGTTGCTGCAACGAAGAGTGAGGCGGAGGGCGGGAACGGAAACGCGGCGAAGTTCTGGGATTGGACGGAGGAGCAGATCAAGCCGTACCTTTCATCTCAGAAGTGAGTGAGGAAGTCGGGAACCAAGATGTGCGGAGCGTGTGTGCTAGTAATGATATTCAAGGACTATGGATGGCGGAATTTTAAAGTTACACATTTAATTCAAGCTTTTGGTAATCTCTTGGAGTACCCCTGATACTATGGTGATCCTAAATAGCTCGCTTGATCCAAGAACATGACTGCCAGAGTCTGCAGAGCTAGAGCCTACCGCCAACATGCTGATTTGCTCTTTCATTAGTACGCGAGGCTAAAAGACGACTGTGCGCTCTATGAATAGAGTTAGTATTTGTCATTAGCGATGATCAAGAATGTACCTCATTCGGCTTTCTCGCGATGTTTCGACGTTTGTTGATTGGCTGAATTGGAGTGACGAATGATGATTGTGGAGAATTAGTCGACGCCAAAAAGACAGCGCAGGGTTTCATTTGTCGTCATACAGCGTTGAAACAGCTATCTAGAGTAGAATGATGTATGGGGAATAGACGAGGCTGAAAACAAGGTTCACTGGGCAATCCGAGAGCACACAAGAGCGCTCAAAGTTAGTTTCAAACGGCAGAGAACAGTCGTAACGTATACAAGACTAGATATGCTCACTCAATAACTCTATTATCTTCATATGGAGAACGAACTTAGACTATCTATGTTTCTAGGAGACTTTTACGTGGCGAATTGTTTGTGGGAGGAGCTAATCTGCGTGCCCTAGAACCTTGGGTGTTCAGTGATTGTCAACTGCGCTTTGGAGTGCTTTAAGGAATCAAGCTGTAGCAAGTAAGCACAAGATATGTCATGATTGAGGTGTGATTACTTTACCAGATTATTCAAACCCGACTCCATACTGCCGACATGCTTTCTGCTTCCCATTGATGCTAGGAGATCCATCTAAAGAAGCCCTTCTTATTCCCGTAAGAGTTAAGGAAATCCATTAGGAGGTCCGCAATCACGGGTTGTTACCTCACCCATCTGAGGTCTGGAGATGTATACCGACCAGGCTCGCCACTATCCAGTGTCAAGCGACCATACCATCCACCTTCAATGTCCCGAATCAGAGTTTCCAAATGCTCGATTTTCGGCTTTAACACTTTTTCCCACGCTTCCGCTGTGTAATGTCGAGCGTGCTGTGATATACCTTTCAGTTCATCATAATCTGGCGCCCACTCCTCTTCATTCCACCATGATGGGTACATCGCTGCAAAGCGACCTTCCTCTGTTTGGCGCCAAAGACGTATCAGCTCCGTCCGCAGAAGCTTTATCCGCTCCCTAGGGTGAATATCAGCAAAGCGCACTTGACCCTTCGTTGTTGTTGGACCTGCGGTGGCGGAACGTGCTGCTGCGGAGGAGTCAATGGCTGCTGCGGAGGAGTCAATGGCTGCTGCACCTGCTGATACGGAGGCTGGACCACATCTTGCGATGCGACTGGTTGCTGCTATACGTGTTGTGGCTGTTGCCCTTGCTGAGGCGGAGGCTGTCCAATTTCTTGCGACGCATCTGATACATAGTGGACCGGCTGCTGCTGTACGGGCCGTGGCTGGCACATGTATTGACGCGGAACTTGAGCCGTTTTTAGTGGTGGAGTCAGTTGACGCTCGACGGACTGGCACCGAGCCTTCGCAATCATGGCGCGAGTACTGAGAACATTCGCTCGGACGAGATCTTGTGATTGGTCAATCTGTCCTTGGGCCTGCCGCCGACAGGTGGAGAGAAAAGACAGAAGGCGTTCTACGTTTCGTGGGACTGGTCTCCGTGGTGGCACGAATGCAAACGCCCCAGAGCAACTAGGTGGAGGAGCGGCCGCACTGCGCTGAGCAGCGTGGCTATGAGCCTGCTGAAAGGTCACATTTGGCGTCAAATGTGGTCCTAGTCCCTCTAGAGGGAGAGACAACTGTCCGGGGTAGACAGGATGTGGTAGATATCGAGAAGTATTTGCTAACAGACCAGCCGTTATTGGAGCTAGAGGCTGTCTAGTAGTTTGAGCAAAAGAGGCTTTGGGTAGAGCTAGATGGCCTGCAAGAGTAGCATCGGGAGCGGCAGCGTTTGGCTGCCGTACTTGAACTGGAGTTGGAGACCGAGTCGAAATCACCACAGCCTCTACAGGAGTAGCATTAGGAGCGGCAGCATTTGGCTGTGGTACTTGCATTGGAGTTGGCGACCGAGATGGAATCGCCACAACTTCTCCAAAAGCAGCAGGAGGAATGGCAGCATTTGGCTGGGGCTGGGGTACTCGCACTAGAGCTGACGACCGATATGGGATTTCCACAAGCTGGCTGCTCATGCGTCGTTGATGGCACTGGTTGCATGAGCCCACCATCCAACGTTCTTGCCCCTTCTCTTGACGAGTGAAATCGATGCGAGGTCGCTTCTCGCACTTATACACTTCCTCAGGTTCCGGCGGTCTGTCAGGTGGTAGTCCCGCTTCCCCGCGCTGTCTCCGCACCTGTACTCTCGCACGTCGTCTTGCTTGGATCTGTAATCGTTTCGAGTCTTGAAGCACTCTTGGGGATTGGCGCGTATGTTCACTGTTAGGTGGCGTGTGAGACGCAGCTGGGTCTAGGTGGCCATCCTCAGAGTGGCTATCATCCTGGTGGCTATCCTCTCCACGGAGGCCCTCTGAGTGGCTCTCTTCCGCTTGGCTCTTTCCTCGACGGCCATGCTTCATCAATGCTGTCCGCGCATTCTTTGCCTTTCCCTTCAGTTTTTGCTTCTCAAGCTGAATCCGCCGACGAACCTCCCTACGATGCTTATTGACTTGTTTCGCACATTGGTTACATTCTGGGTGTTCGAGACCCTTTCGCCTGAACTCACGTCGAGGCTTACTGACACCGCATTGTCCGCAATTCCTGTCAGAGCGTTCATTCCGCGACTGACGAACTGCTCTCAGTGCTGCTCGTCGAGGTTGGGGTGTTTCCGGAGGGTTTCCAACGCTATCTACATGGCTGGAAATGGGAGGAACAACCTGCTCGGGTGTGGCTCCCGGGGTAAATGAAGACAGGCGTGCGAGAGAATTGGCGGTATTGGCGAAGGACGGAGGTTCTCCAGGCAGTTGGGCTGAAACACCAGGTTCTGTATTGCCTTGGCCTGACTTGGGCTCCACTGATTGGGGTTGACCTCCAGGTCTACGTCTCGGGCCGGACTCTGGGGGTTGGGGCTTTTCGTTGTACTGCTGGTTCCAGCAGGGATTGCAAGTGGAGAATGTTTCCCCATTTCGCGAAAAATCGGAATGCGGCCGGTGCCATCGACAATGCCTGCAGAAGGGCCACGACTCCGGTTCTGATACAGGGGTGGCACTTGTGGATGTCGAATCTGACATGACGGTGGTGTGTGTGGTTGTCGAAGGGGGGTGTGCATTCGTAGTGTTGTTGTCATCAGTGCGAGCGGCGCTATAAATACTTGGGCGGCTCGTAGATTTTGTTTTGCTCACCACTCGCCCCTAACTGTGGTGAATGCAATGGGTCGCAGTGAATACTGTTGGAGAGTAGTAGACGCTTGTCCAGCGTGGTGATCACGAACTTGTATCTAGCTCGTTTATTGTTAGTGAAAAGATCAAGAGGGGGGAGTTTCATACCTGGAGGAGCCTAACACCTGATGTCACGACGACAACCTTAAACGTATCTAGACCTCTGCCCTCACGGCAGCTTTGTTTTGCTTAGGACGAAGTCTTGTCGAGGGAACCTAGGTATTGTGCGACCGTTCTATGCAATAAGGGCATCGTAAACGTAATCTACTGAGGGGTTTGACTGGCAGTGATTGCCTCCTCTCAGGTAAAGACTTCGATATGGGACTGGGCATTTCCTCCTATTTTCGAAATCTTAGTTAAAGTCCCCAACGGCATTATTAGGGCTGGACACAGCAGTAGCACATAAGTCGGTACACTCGTTTTTGCCATAACACTCGAACTCTTTTCTAAGTTTCGATATGTCGAATACCCGACACTGCGGTCAGATGATCTTTTTCAAGTGCTGGATTACAGGCTATTACGTGCTGTCTACAAATGACCAACTTGTCCGAATATCTTTCGATACGCCAGGACACTTCGGACAGCGACAACTGAATGTACACAGACTTTGGTCTAGAAAGTATACCTTCTGGGCTACCTGGCGCAATCCTGATCCACTTCTACCCATCAAGCTGCGTTTCGGCGAGGGCTGGTGAATTGCGGCGGGCATTCTAGCTTCGACAAGAGTTTGGTGTGAAGGCGGATATAGTCACTGGATGATCATATGTATTAGAGGCTCTGATAGGGATGAAGTGATGTCAAGAGTCGGGGACGATGGTAAGTGGACGGGATAAGGTTTGGGCGACGACGCGATGTAAGGGACTAGGACTCGCACGTGACATTGAAAATCAATCCTTACTTTAGGGATTAAAAATACGGCGAGGTGAGTATGATGCTCTGATAGGCATCTTTGATTCTGTGCTATGGATGAAAAAATGGTCTTAGTCCGTAGGGTCGATGATTTTGATGCAGGCACGTGACTTAGGGACTTGATATGGCGTACATTGAGGAAGTCGAGCTAAAGCGTACTCGAGACGGCTTCAAAAGGTCTGGAAATAGCCAAGTTTGTATCTTCCGTAAAAAATTGACATGAAGGGCGCCACTGCTCTTTTAAATCGTTCCCACAGCCGTTGATGTCGAAATAATCTCCTCCGCTCGATAGCACTTCCTGACGTATCATGACGATGATACCGGCATGTCCCATGCCGCTTGCCACCGTAAACCTGATTAATGCGAAGGAGCGAAGCAGGCAGCCCACTGAAGTATGGCAAAGGAACGTCTTCGTTGCCTTCTTTTCATCTAGCTCGTTTTGCTTCCACGGAGCCTCGTATCCCTCCATACTTCGGCCCTTTCATCCAGCTCGCGTTGCATGATGTTTTCTCTAGGGCTGCAGCACTTCTCGTCGTCTTCTTCCTTAGCGCCATATCTCGACTTCGGTGAGCTTCAGCCAAGGTACGCAGCTCCACAGGCTGAGTATCTGTCATCGGCAGATGAGGCGTTGCGAACACGCTATCGTCTGGAGATTGTGGAACTGTAGCAAACAACCAGGGCATATTCGAGAAGGGCATCTAAGTTTGGGTCAAGCGGATGGGAGATCGAAACTTTCCCACATATCGAGACATTCTAGTACCTGGTTACTGCCTAATAACTGATGAGACTCCGCTGTGTTGGTAGTCATCTCGACACATAGGCTACGTGAGAGATGGCCATCTCCCACAGCTTCAAGCCGCCGAGGACTGGGCCGACGCTTCCGACAACCTCCCCAGAACCGTCAAGCAGACGGCAATAGATCTCGCTGTACTTCCAGCGTTCTTGATGTTTCTCGACGAATGCGACACCAAATTCCAAACACGGTTCTGGGATATTACATTGATGAGTATCGAGATGTACCTCCAACATCTGGTCGAGGGCCTCATTGCTGAGAAGATCACCACGAAAATTGTTGCAACATTGCCTGAGGGTCAGTCATGTTTGATCGTAAACCACACAGCTGAGGTGATGTATGCTAGCAGGTTGATGACGGAGAGCAACCCAAGCCTGTTCCTGAAGGGATATCTGGAGAATGTGATGGCAAAGTACAATGCACGAGAAACTTGAGGATAAGAGGGTATTCAAGAAAAACCACAGTGATTACTAGGGAAAGATGGTCGACTAGATGTCTAAACCCGCTAGGGTATATCATATTGGAATGGAGTCTGCGAGCCGGAGAGCGCGGTGGATACCTAGACGGCGGACGAAGGCGGGCCGTTTCGTGGCGGTCGACAGATCGCCTAGAATATTTGCTCTTAATTTCCTTTCATTAGCAACATTTATTGCTGGCATGCGACGACTCTTGATCTGCTTTGCGGACTTTCCCTACAAAGGTGAATTTGTGAGCGGGTGCCAGGGGAAGCTCTAGGGATACTTCGCAGGGCTCAATGCAGCACGATATCACCACGGGGCTCCTTACAAATAGGGAGTTACTAGATCAATGCTTTAAGATGTATGAACTGCTAACGTTAGTGATTATGTACTTGAAGGCCGTGACGTTAGTTAATAAAATACGGAATGCTGAATAATCGCGGAGCTTGTAACTAACTAGTTACAAAGTAACATCCCATTTTCATACAGGTCGTGAACTTCAACGCCGCGTCTCTCTACCTACATCATCACTTTTCTTCGCTAGCGAAGCCTCGATGCGCCACTCTCTGGATGCGCGCCATTCATAGCCCCCTCCTTCGAAAGTCCGTCTGTTCAACATGGCATCTTCGACCGCTTCTCGCTGCGCAATGGCTCTGCTCCCTCCATCGCGATCATGTCCGCGGCTTCAGCCTCTACAAGCTCTCCCGGGCGAAAACAACACTCGGAACGCACGGTGTCAAAGCATACACGCCCTTCCGGCCGCCTCAGCTGTCTGAAGACATGACTGTCCTCCTATCCGACAAGCGCAAAGGACAGACACAGACAGGCGAGCAGCAAAAACCAGACTCCCTATTGAAGCTTGGGGACACACTCACCGTGTCCAAACTCGATGAAACGATCACCCCGGGCTCGTTTCTGCTGCCAAAGGAAACTAACTCGGGTTGGTCAACCTGCTGGCAGACGCCTGATCCCAACCTTACATCGCTACAATACGAGCTGCGCGAGCTCGAGCCTGCCAAGCCGACGAAACCGAAGAAGAGGACACAGGCATATGCAGAAATACAGCTCCAGTTCACGTCACCGGTCTCGTATTACCATACTCGCCTACGCGCCGCCGCCCTGTTCCTCGAGCAAAATCGAATCGTCGAGATCCACGTCCGCGTCCCGAACCAAGCCCTTGGGAAGTCCGTCGGAAAAGACAACAACACCAGAAACGATGCCGCATTTGAATGGTTCTGGAGCACCAGACCCCATCTCTGGCCTAGCATCATGCTGAAAGCGATGCCGAAGGGGACATACTTCAAGATCAATCCGTATATTGGGAGGAATGAGGTCGCCTGGGTCTTCGCATGTTCACGTCCAGAGGAAGGTGACGGAAAAGCATCGTCGCCGCGATCGAATTCCACGATAAAGGTCGAGAAGATGCGACAGAAACAAGAAGCGCTGGACATGGAGGGCAAAGGAGTACCTGCAGCACCCGAGCGAAAGGCGATCATAAGGGTAATCAAAAAGCGGATGAGGGATGGAGAAGAGCTCACCGAAGCAGATATCCCCTTGTGGTACAAGGCCACATGGAGGTCAGGGATGAAACGCCGAGCACAAAAACGTGAAAAGATGGAAGCGCGCATCATAAAGAAGCTCAAAACGTTGGAGGAGAGAGAAAATCGGATGGACGCATCGAAAAGCGTCAAGGATGCGAATGTGGACAGAGCGGGAGTGGGACTATCGCGGAATGAGACAGGTCAAGGACAAGAACCCCTGGTGAGGTTCACGAAGGAGGACAAGACGGCAACTAAGGGCGTGCAGGGGATTCAGAATGGCGAAAAGGAGATTGAGGCAGTACGTATTGCGGCGGAGAGGCTGCACAAGGGAGTGACTGAGGAGAGGAAGATGGCAATGAAGAGCGTAAAGGTGATCCAGGATGGCGAAAAGGAGATTGAGGCGTTGCGTATTGCGGCGGAGAGGCTGCGTAAGGGGGCGACGAAGGTGAATGGAAGTCACACGCCCTAGACAGCTTGAGGGAAGGTCCAAACTACTGATATACTATCTCATCTCCTCTCATGAAGCGATATCAAGCAAATCGATACCCGCGGAATCAGATCAACTGCGAAATGCTTTAAACTTTACCATACCAGCCATCTTCCGTACCCCCTTCGGTCATCTAAGCATGGAAAGAGCACGTACTGAGGTTGTATCACTGATTCTATCTTGCACCAAAACATTTCTCACCAGAATGAGGGTTTGCAGGAAATCAGATGACGAAATCGATTCAATCCGATGCACACGCCTAGACGAGAGGCGTTATGACAGCCCACATGGTACGAAATCCTAATCAGGAAGAGAGCCTTTGCGTTATAGACTAGAGGTAGGTGCGTCACATGAGTCGCGTTGCGCTTTACCATGATTTGTCAGTGTGGCGTCCCGTGAAAACGCAGATATCGCGCGCCGCCTGGTCATCTAGACTAAGAAAATCAGAAGCAACTCGAGTTAATACTCTCCAATCATCATCATCTAGAAGAGTATTGCATGTAAGACTGAAAGTACATTGAACACTAGAGAAACGCAGAAGAGACCAGCGACGTATTTTCCTTGTATAATTCCCTAGCCATCCCGCCGAATCCGAAACGTCTTCGTCTTCTCAGCGACCACGACCCTGCTAACGTCCAGGACGGTAGACGCATTCACTCTCACAGACCTCGAGCAGTAGTAGTCATTCTCCGCCATCCTCCTACGTATGGGGCCACGCACCCTAGAATTTCGCCCGAATCTGCCCCAGAAGTCTCGATCAGCTCATCTATCCCTCTGCGTATATCCAGCTCCGTGCTCCTATGAAGTGCTCAGCCTCCTCTTCGAAAGCACTCCCTCGTCAAGATTGTACCCTTCATAAGAAAGCAGCGGGCATTTTTGCATTGATTACAACTACGATACAATCCCTTCTATCTAGACGTACATATAACAGTACTCATTCCCGACCGTCAGCATCGCATGCCCAATTGGCAAATCCCCTCCTGCCGGCGCGCCCATCCTCATCACGCTCTCTAGCGTTGCGTCCTCACTCGGCGGCACATTCGCTACTGTCACCGTCCCATCCAACGCGCCCCTTCGCCCTCCGATATCCTGTCCCTGCCAGATCGTCCACAGTCGATCAATCTGGGCATGGTGCAGGAAGAACAGTGGCTCGTTAGGCGAGCTGTACGTGTCGCCACCGTCGCCACCGAGGAAGTTGTGTCCGCTGATGTGTACGCCTGTGGGATGCTCCAGCTGTGGCCGGAACTCGACGATGGACCTCGTCCGCAAGAGCGAAGCGATGGCCTCGTATGTCATGTTGCCTGTGACGGAGGGTTGATGGAAGTCGCGCTTTAGACAGCGGGGGTTGTACTGGGTTCCGAACTTGTTGTTTGGGATATCGTTGTACGATGGAGACACAGGACCGAGATGGAGTGTCATATCTGCAAACGGGCCGTCCTTGACGCAGCCGCCCCCTGTGCCCGTGACGCGTGGAACAGTGACGCCTGGGGCTGGGAGCCCAACCAAGGGTGAGGTTGCGTTTAGGTGATGTGGGATGTATTTGCCGTTTGATCCAAATGCGGCGGGACCGGGACCGAAAACGGGGCTCGAAGTCAGGTTATTGGAGTGCCGCGCCCAATCCCAGTAGGGAAGGTATCCACTGTACCCGCACTCGTTTCGTAGAGCTTGCTCCCAGGACCAGATGAATTGCCGATGCCAGGGGAGCAGCAGGCCGGAGAGGTGGATGAAGTTGGTGACGTTGATGTGGGCGTAGACAAAGTCGTCAAGACGGTTGCGGGCGCCAGGGGCGAGGGAAGAAGGCGTGAGAGAGGGGAGAGTAGTCATGCATTTGACGGCGGAGATATAGGAGAGACGTTCCGGGGTCGAGAGGTCATCCCAGGGCCGGCGGACTACGACATTTGATGTTGTGCAGGTGGAGTAAGGATCGTGATGGAGGAAGGACTGCGTGTTCGACTCGTAAGTCTTTTGGAAGTCCGAGACGACAGATTCGACGTTTGAGGACGTGGCTTTGGAAGTGGGCTTGGGGCTGGGTCTGGATGACGAAAAGAGCTTTTGAAAGGCAGAGACGAGGAACGAGGAGTGTGCGGACTCGCAAACCAGTGCTGGCGCTGCCGATGAAAATCCTAGGAAACAGAAAAGCGTCCCAATGATGCTATAACGAAGAACCAGCATCTTAGGTAGATAACGAATCGCAAGCCTGAAAGTATTGAACTAGCATGTAGATACTGGGTCCCGGAACGGACTCTGGGATGAAATCATTCGAAACATGAGGGCGCGAGAAGAAGTGTCTTAGAGCTTATATGAGGTCAAGCATTACCGGCTTCATCTGAGCCTGCGGGCTTCTCAATGGAGTCGCAAAGTGTGCTAGTATACTAGACTTCCAGATGGAGTAATAGCCGGACTACTCCTAGAAACATTCACGAGTGTCGCTATAAAGGCAAGAGTTCAGTAGATCGGCGCTCAGACTCTCCAATTGGTCCATCGGTGCCCGAGACGGTGGATATCCCGGGCATAGATGGCTTTACTCGATTCGCTCCTCTGTGGGGTTTTTATTATGGAAGCATTACTAACGGGCTCCGTAGATTGCTTGTGGGAGGTGAAGCTGACCTGTGTGTATGAGCGTATCACGTGCGAATTGATGTACAAGAGGAGAGGCGGAGGCGAAACTGCGTGATCTCGAGGGGCAATGTAGCTCCCGATGGTTCGCAGAGTTCATATGAACTCAACTAATGGATTGCCTAGACCATGAAACTGCTCGTAAAGTTTGTTGGGTCTATATTCCGAAAGACGAAATGACCTACGCGGTGGTGCTTATCACGTAGTTCCCAGGCAATAATACATGTTCCGGCAGGACTGCAATCTCGACCAATAGATCCAAGCCCACAGAAAGATCCCGAAGTATTCCATCCATACTGATGGATAAACAGGGTCATATCATCTTCGAAAGCTCGGACTAGTCCCGTGCGAGCGTGTTTGGCAGCGCCTTCGTTAGCCGTGATGCTTCCAAATTCACAGAATTCGCGCTCTCCTGCTGCCCATCTAACAAACCTTCACCGACCGCCGCATTGCGGCTACGCTTTCGAATGAAGCCTTCTTGCTTGGATGCTATTACCGTCGGTGTGCTGTTTGACGGAGTACGTATTCTTAGCCAGCTAGCCTACGGAGTATGGTACGGTTAGCTCGGCTACCTTGATATAGAACACGGTTCCTATACTTAGCCCTCACAGTTCTACGGTACGGCTACGTAAGCCTCCACACACACAGGGTATATATACGGCGTACGTAGCCTAGATAGATGCTCATCCAATACATCACTTACCTCGTTCAATGCATTGTTTCACCTCCATCCTCACTGTTCTCCAACCTCTAGCTAACCTCTCGTGATGCGCTCACCGAACATCAGCTCCCAGCTCTATCAACTTTTGACGCAGCAAGCTTAGCGAACCCACCTCCGAAATGCTAGACGGGTAGCGAGTTCTAGCGCTCGGGCGAGAGAGGCGTGCGTTGTTCGGCGTACTCCCTTCCATTCTACTCGCTCATCTCCAGCACCATCTCTCTCGTCACGAAAACCATTACGATCAATCGATTCTATGTCTTCTCATACTCCCGCCGCCATGGATGCAGAGAATCAATATCTAGACAGCCACCCACTGACGTTAGCTCAGCCTGAAACTGGCATGCAGCGCGTAGCTCGAATGGCGGGAGAATTGCGTCGAAGCAAACGTCAAGCGCGCGAACTTGCAAGAGCTGCAGATCCTGATCACCAAGCTCGGATCCTCGCAAAGCGCGCTCAGAGCTTCGACCCGGAGCGTCAACGCATTAAGGAGGCCCGTAAAGCCCGCCAGCGTGAAAGAGCAAAGGATCCCCAGCGCGCGAAAAGTAAGGCTATGAAAAAGGTCTACCGCAGCGAAGCAAAAGAAGCGCCCAAGAATCGCATACGAGTTTCATGAAGGCATCATCGGTGTCGGTCTACAAAAGCGCAAGTTTGCTGGTCAAATCATCGACACCGCGGAAGACTCCATCAACCAATCTCTCTTATACGAGAGCTTGCCGCCGTCGCAGCGAACCGAGATCCTCTTCTGGACTTGGTTCCGTCCACAACAAAATGCCACGTCCTGGCGTCATGGGCACTGCTATCGTCCGACAGAACCCAATCAACTACAACTTCCTCGCAACTGAGTTTCCCCTCGGCTACAATGTCGGGGAGTCTGCGGACGCTGAGATCTTTGCCATCACTGCTGCGTTGGGAATGGCTTTGGACTTGGTGCAGCAGGGATTGAGAGCCCCAGTCGTCATAACGTCCCTCGCTACAGGTCGAGAAACACCCCGCGCCGAGAAATATAAGGGGTACTTCAACTTCAAGCAACTTAAAACTGCGTACATGTTCAGATTCGCGCCAAGTCTATATAAGTTATACGCTATAGCTAGTCCTTAACATTGATTAGCCTTTCTTTTGAAAAATTACGTCCTGCATCGTCGCCTGCGTCCTCATTTAGAGAGAGCCTTAATTTCTAGCGAAACAGACTTCCATTCCTATAGAACCACTATTAAGCTCTTACTATTCTACAATACCTATAAACAGGGTTATCTAAGCCAAAGAATCTTCCTATAATACTTGAAAATCACTATTAGCCTTATATATATTATAGGGCGCATTTTCACACAAGATTGCCATCCCTATCGGTACTTCCAACCCTAGCGATTTCCAATCTCGGCTAGTTTAGGCTAATTCTATATTACTTACATTAAGATTACGATGTAATTTACAAGTTATATAACATGCTAAGCTTGTAGCTTCTGGTTAGTTATGTATATAGCTGTGCTTAACGCCCAAAATTAAGAGAGACTTAGCTCGGCAAGTTATAGCAACTGCCAGCCTTACTCCGCCACGCCCAATATGCAGCCACGCCCAGCCCTCTTTTATACTATTGTTCTGCGATATATTCTTCTATCTTCTAGTCTCCTATAAAGGCACCCACCTTGACAATAATAACCGCGGCTCTCGACAGCGCCAACTCCTACCCTTTACGCGTGGATGAACAGCGGTGCCTATATTAATCATTTGCGTTTAGCCCCCCTATCTCAGCTTACTGCTAACCTATCGACCCTCCTCACGTTGCGATGCGGCTCCTCCAGCGCGGTGATAAAAACAAGCTTAGCTTCACTAAGGACCTAGTCGGCGACAACGAAGTCCCGCCTTACGCAATACTCTCGCATACCTAGTAAGAGGGTTAAGAGGTGACCTTTAATAACTGGATAAATGGCCGCACGAAGAGCAAGGCAGGCTATAACAAGATCCTGTTCTGCGCACAGCAGGCTGAGCGCGACGGGTTATACTATTTTTAGGTAGACACCTGCTGCATTAATAAGGCAGACCACGTTAAGCTTTAGAATACAATTAACTCTATATTTCGCTGGTACTAGAATACAGCTAAGTGCTACGTCTATCTGTCGGACGTGTTAATAACAAAGCGGAAAGCTTGCAGCAGCAGAAGCTTTTAATTTTCCTGGGAGCCAGCTTTTCGAGTGAGCCGATGGTTCAGGCGGGGTTGGACCCTATAAAAGCTCCTCGCGCCGCGTTCTATCACGTTCTTCTTAGAAAAGGGCAAACCTCTAGGTAATAAGCAAAGTCTAGAGCAGTAGATCTATAAAATAACAGGCATCGCTATTAAAGCCCTCTAAGGCATGTCTCTGCTTAGCTTTAGCATTAATAAGCAACTACTATAGGCAAAGAACCGTTAAACAACACGCAAAGAGGATAAAGCATACTATCTACTTAGTATTTTTGGCATCTTTATACCACTTATCTATAGTAAAGGAGAAGATAACGCATTTAGACAGCTCCGAGACAAGATTAATAAAGCTACGGATAATCTTCCAGCACAATACCTTTCTAGGTTGCCAACTGCCGAAGGCGCTTTCTTTAACTCCCGTATAGAAGAACATAACTTAATATACCTCCCGAATATATATACTAAGTTACTGCGTTATATATATAGCTGGGCAAACGATAAAAACAGCAAACTAATATTCTGGCTAAATAGCGCGGCAGGCACAGAAAAGTCTACAATTGCGCGTACTATTGCGCGGGCCTTCGCCGACTAATAATAACTAGGAGCCAGCTTCTTCTTTAAGAGAGGCGAGGGGAAGCGCAGCAACGCTACTTAATTCTTTACTATAATTGCTATATAGCTAGCTTGTCGTGTATTAGAGTTAGGACCTGGAATTAAGAAGGCGATTAAAGCTAATCCAGCTATATATAAGAAGACTCTAAAGGATTAATTTAAAAAGCTAATCCTCCGTCCACTTTTAGAAGTAGTATATTCACCAGCCTTAGTACTACTTGTTGTAATAAACGCGTTAGATAAATACGAGCAAGATAGTAATATATAAGTAATCTTCTAGCTCCTTTTATAAATAAGGGATTTTAAGTCGGTATTATTACGGGTTTTTATAACAAGCTAACTAGAACTGTATATCCGCCTAGGATTTAAATAATTGCCTAATAGTATATTTAAAGACCTAATCCTGTATAAAGTTGTAAAACAAACAATTTAATATAATATAAGCGTCTATTTCGAGTATAAACTTAGATAAGTATAGGAAGAACAATTATTATCTTTAGGTTGGCCGAGACCGGATTAAGTTAAAGCGCTAGTAGAATAAGCAGTTCTACTATTTATCTTTACTGCTATAGCATGTTAATATATTAGCGATTGGCGTAATAATCCGAAAAAACGCCTAGAGATTATCCTAGGGTATTAGAAGGTAAAAGTCTTAAAACTTAACGCAATATATCTCTCTATACTTAATTAGCTATTCGATAAAAAAGATAAGGAAGATAGAGAGAAATAGGTATACAAGTTTCGGGATATTATAGGAAGTATAGTAGTACTAGAAACTCCACTTTCTACTATATTACTTGCTCGCCTTCTTTATATATCTAAGGATAATATTAGTTGCTAACTAGATTTCCTATACTCTATTCTATATATACTAAACCGCGATAATATACCTATACAGCTTCTACACCTATTATTCCGCGAATTCCTTATTAATGCGTTAAAAAAGGAGAAGAGCCTGTTCTAGGTAGATAAGAGGGCGATATATAAAAGGTTAGCGTTTTATTGCCTTTAACTTATATCCGGCCCTAACGGCCTACAACAAAATATATACAACTTATAGCCTAGGACTTTAAGAAGTAAGGTTAATAAAGGAAAAATTATAACCTACCTATTGCCTAAGTTGTAGTATACTTGCCGTTACTAGGTGTATTACCTTAAGTAGAGCTAGCGTTTTATTAGTAATAAGGCTACTGCAGATATATTCCTTTAGAAACACTTCCTTTACTAGCTTAAAGTAATAAGTCTAATTAGAGATATAAACAAATATATTTCCTTATTAGAAACACTTTCTACGCTAGTTAAGGTAAGGCTTCTACTTTTTCTAATATTTTATTATACTAACGTGCAATATAGGTATTAAATAGTGCTCTTTCTGCATTTCTCTATAACGCTTAATAATTTACTCTTTAATTCCGATATATACTCTAAGATGCTCCTCTATAAATATATTCCTCGGCTCTTATATTTGCCCCAGAAGCAAGTATAGTACGGAAAGCTTTTGTAGACGAAATGCCAGGGTGGATTAAGTTATTGTTAAAACGGGAAGACGACTGGGATGCTTGCCGCAGCGTGCTCGAGGGCCATACCTCCTGCGTCAACGCCGTCGCCTTCTCGCCAGACGGCCAGCTGGTCGCGTCCGCCTCTCACGACAACACAGTGCGGGTGTGGGAGGCGGCGACGGGGTCGTGCCGCAGCGTGCTCGAGGGCTATACCTCCTGCGTCAGCGCTGTCGCCTTCTCGCCAGACGGCCAGCTGGTCGCGTCCGCCTCTCACGACAACACAGTGCGGGTGTGGGAGGCGGCGACGGGGTCGTGCCGCAGCGTGCTCGAGGGCCATACCTCCTGCGTCAACGCCGTCGCCTTCTCGCCAGACGGCCAGCTGGTCGCGTCCGCCTCTCACGACAACACGGTGCGGGTGTGGGAGGCGGCGACGGGGTCGTGCCGCAGCGTGCTCGAGGGCCATACCTCCTGGGTCAACGCCGTCGCCTTCTCACCAGACGGCCTGTCTATCCAAACAAATGGCGGTGATATTCTCTTGCATGTTCCTACTACGCCATCGCCCTCGTTCCAAAGAGCGCGGCCGTCTCATATCTTTGTACAAGACCAGTGGATTTCTTTGAACCAACAGCAGTTGCTATGGCTTCCTTTTGAATATCGACCGACTTGCGCTACAGTTAACAGAAACGCAGTCTTTTTAGGGCATTCTTCAGGTCGTACTACGTTCCTTAAATTTCGTATATAGGCCTTGTACACACTTTCTCTATCTTATTATATATTTCTTTACTAATCTCTATTTTATAGAGGGGGCCGGGGAGCAGCAAGTATTTATATTATAAGAGGGACACCTAGAATCTTCTATGCTGATTAATATAACCTTCTATAACTATTAGCGACAGAAAACGCACGAGATATAAGTAGCAATGCACACAGCCTAGCAGCTAAAAATAGTCAACACGTGACTATTTATAGACGTATCTAGAAGAGTGCCACACGGTTAGGTATAGCATTAAATACAATACAATATGCTTATTATCCAGCGTATTATTATGTAAACACGCCAGCTCTCCACGCCAAGACATTCTTAAGGCTACTTTGCACGGATAAATTTGGAGCGCATATTCCTAGTGGCTAAGCTTCTTTAAATTATAGATCTATCTTTTCTTATAACAGAACTATTATTTACGTACTCCGAAATTTCAAAAGGCGTTAATAGCTGTTGTGCAGCAGGGGTGGAAACCTAAAATTGTTCTAGATGCTGTGAACAGAACGATTAACGGTATGACCAAAACTGTCGTATTTTTCGTACTAAAGACTGGTCCCTAGAAGGAAAATATTCCAAGAAAAATAATTCATTAACTATGGCTTAATAGAGTCGCGAGGAAAGGAGTTAAGATGCCTAAACAATAGGTTCATCTCGGCGCGGGGTGTTTCTCGACCCGCAGTGAGGGACGTTACTCTCTGATGTCGGTACGACGCTAGAGAACATTCAGTATGGTGATTGGTGGCAATTGGTCCGTTAAAATCGACGCGATGGGCTTTGGAAGATTTGTATGAACGAGCAGAAATGTTGGCAGCAGCCGGGATAAAGTGGACGTTACGATAGGTCAAGAGACATGAGCACGGAGTAAAAGGAAACCCCGCTGCCCATACGGCGGCGGACCAAGCGGTTAAGAAATCCAGAGATCGCTTTAAAGAGCAGATTCTAGAAGGTATAACAGCCCTGCCACTCAAGTTGCTGGAAGCGGACACAGAGTTCAGAGTGGAGTTCTTCTTTCGTGCGCAAAGACAGTTAATGGTCAACGGAGCGTATATCCATGTATGTCTGGTACTGGAAGGTCATCCAGGCCAGATTTTAGTACAAGACTAGGTTAGATAATGGCGGCTAGGTGTTAATGTAGAGGCTTAAGTGGGACGGGTGAGTAGCTCAAGCACTGGAAATAATGTTTCCATCAATCGGACGACGGAAATGTGCACAGTTTGAAGATGAAGGAAACTACAGATGTGCTTAACAAAAGTTTCCGCGGCGCTAAAATAGCGTAAAGCCACAAAACGCCACCAGAATTCCTTACCAGACAGTACCCTCCTGTTTTCTCATACAAACGCGTCTGCAGAGGCACAACTCGGCGTCCTCAACCCCCGAACCTGATTTTTTGAGGCTCTATACACTAGCTAGCAAGGTAATATCACCAGATTCTGTGGTGTTGCAGTTCTAACAAGCCGTGTAGGTGCCCGAGACACCCCTCCGCGACTCCGACGTTCATTCGCACGCAGCGTCTCTGTCATATTCCTCGCCATACAATCGAGCAGGAAGGCAAGCAGGAGGACTATATTCGTGATCTATGACGTCAATTAGTCGCCAAACATACGCTTTTTGGTGACCTTCCTGCCGCTCCGTCGTAGGCCTTGCTCAGCAGCAGCTGTAGCAGCATCTGTAGCAGCATCTGTAGCAGCATCTATAGCAGCATCTGTAGCAGCATCTATAGCAGCATCTGTAGCAGCATCTATAGCAGCATCTGTAGCAGCATCTGTAGCAGCATCTATAGCAGCATCTGTAGCAGCATCTGTGGCAGCATTTGTAGCAGGCGTAGCTGTAGCAGGCGTAGCACGCTGCGGTGCTGCACGCCGCGGTGCTGCACGCCGCGGTGCACCAGGCAGCTCGTACGGCAGCGCTGTCGACGTAGCTGCAGGATCGCCTGCCTGGAAAGTGACCGTTCGAGCACTTGTTTTGGCTGGCCTGCCACCTGTTTGTGATGCTTCGCCCGTCTTGAATATGGAAGGCCCGCCCGAGGCCTCTTCTGCTGCCCGCTCTCTGTGTCGCCGTAGTCTTGATTGTGGTGATGCTTGGCGCGGGTGGTGAGGTTTCTTGTGTGCCGATTTCAATCTCCTCATCGTCCTCAACGTCTATCCAGTCGTCTGGTCTTATCAAACGGCGAGGTTTCTCGCTAGCGCCCTCTCTATATTCATTGCCTCCTTCTAATCTAATAATCTCTTGAATGTGACGCGGTATTCTCTTAATCTAAGCCTGAATCCGCCATTGCTCTATATCTCGCCAGGCTCGCCGCTATACTCGGGTTCCAACCGCTTTAGAAGAAGGCGCACCCTTCTTAGTAGTTATTTGCTTTATATAAGGCCAGGCGGGCTTAATTATATTAAAATCTGGTAAGTTTAGACACTAAAGAAGCCGCTTAACCTTAGCTAATTTAAATACAGTTCCTTAGTGGTAATAAGCATGCGTAGGAGCGCAATTTTCCTAGATAACTGTTCCTGGCCTCTTTTAGGCGTATTCTAATGCAAAAGGTAACAGCTTAGGCTTAAGTATATACTTTATATAGCAAAACTAGTCTATGCTAGTACCCCCTACTTTTATAAGTTTGCTATTATTTTCTATAAACCTTTATTAAGGTTTCCTGCCTCTATAGTTATATATTGCACTAAAACAGCCTATATAATTATTAAGCTCCTATTTTTACTTTATAGTAGGCTTAATAGCCGCGTTTATTTCTTCTAATTTATTTTTAGCTTTATAATGCTCCTACGCAGTCTTAGTATTCTAAATATAGTAAGGTTTTTTCTTATATAAGAATTAACCCTAGAATATAAACTTTTAATAGCCCTTTTAGCGCGGGCAGATAGTAGACTTATTAAACCTTTTATTAGCTCTATACTATACTTTATATCCTCTATAATAGTGCTATAACAGGTCGTTTTTTCTATACCTTCTAAGTGTTATATACTAAGGCAGGGTATAGGTTAAGTTATTATCGGGGTGTAATAGTTTTTAAAAGGTAAGGTAATAATTAATTAAGATATAAAACGGGGTTATTACTTTTAATAGGTAGTATTAAAGTCTTAAGTTAAATATAAGGTTTCTATTTATATAAAGAAGCGTTCTTATATATAAAAGCTTCGTTCTAAAAAACCTCTTACTTATATAGCTTATAGCCTTAAGCCCCTTAAGCGCTCGCCTGGCTCGCTTTCTTAAGCGCTTGCCTAGCTTGCTTTCTTAAGCCCTTTAAGCTATTACATAGCTCTATTCTTATAATATCCTATTTTTAGATTATTCCTATCTACTAGCAGTCTATAGGAAAATCTAGGATTTCTATACATTCTATATATAACCCCTTTAGTTCTATAACCTAGTTCTACGTAATTAGTTTTATCTGCTTACTTATTTCTATAAGTGCCGCTATGCTTAGTTAGTTTATATTACAGGTTATAATACTCGCTCCCTTTTCTAAGGCTTTTAGCCTAAAAGTATTTCCGTGGTGGGGTTTTAGATAAGTAGCTGGCGATGCCCTATCTATTAGGCCGTTATTATACTACTCTATTTCTTTTTTTATAATATCTAACGCTTTAAAAGCTAAGAAATAAAAAAGCTATTTTATGCTTGCTAATTATATTAACGCGTCTGGTTTAAAAGTTATACCTTATTCCCGGTGCAAGTCTCGGGGTTTATTATATATAGTTTCTACACCTAACTCGAATTATTATACTGCCTGTGTTCGGGCGCAATAATTAAACTATAATATTGCTGGTATCTTAGCAGCTGCCTGTAAGCTATTATAGTCCACTATTATTTATAACTATATTCTATCTAACTTTTCTAAAGTAAAAACTACCTTATAAGAAAAAGCAGTTGCGCGCGGAGAAATCCGCCGCTTGTGCTGCTTTTTATATTGCTATAGCAAAGATTAAACGCCTAGAGTTCTAAGAGGAGTTGCTATATAAGTATAGTAAGAAGATAATATATTATAGTTTTAAGACTCTAGAAGAGCTTAAGAAAAATAATTAGAGAAAGGCTAAGTAGAAAGAATAAGAGCATGCTAAGCAGGAAGGCTTACCTTCTGCCTTAGAAACTGTTAGGTATTCTTCTTTTTCTTAGGGTGTGCTAGGCACTGCTAGCTATCTTTTCTATTGCTATATATTCTAATTATAAAGCAGTAACACTCGGCCTTCGGATTTCTTTAGTCTTTCCTAGTTAGACGGTGCGCTATTGCTGTTTTTTTAGGCTATTCCGGATTTTAGCAGTAAAACTGCTATAGGAGTTCCTAATAGTTTGCTAAACTTTTAACCGGTTCCTATATATTTTTAGAGGTGCTGTATCCTTTCTACTTAATTAGGTACTTCTTTTACTAACTATACTATCGGGAATCTAGGATTTACTTAACCTTATATTTATTATTATTATCGACTTTAATATTATTTTCTAGCTTAGCGTTAGATAGTGCGGGTTCTAGTAGTAATACGTGGAAGACCGGGTATATTTTTATCCTGTTAGGTAGCCTAAGCTTATAGTTTACTAGGCTAATAATATCCTATATTTTAAATAGTCTAATCTTAATATAGTCTAACTTTATACTTAGTTGTTTTATTTTAATATTTTTATAGAGTAGGCAGACTCTATCTCCCCTTTTAAAGGTTGGTGCAACACTCTAGTATTAATTATAATATCTTACTAACCTTAGCGTTAGGAATTAGATATCTATTAAAAGCTATTTCTATAGCTCTTTAATATTTTCGACTAATAGTAGTGCCTTTTAGGCCCTTATACTATTAAGTTAGGGTTCTTAATACGCCTCTAGATTAAAACTATAGTTTATAAAAAAAGGTAATACCTTTATTATTTCTGTAGATGCACTATTATAGGCGAACTAGGCTATTAGTAGTAGTAATACCTAATTATCCTATCTATAATTAATATAGTATTATAGGTACTATTCTAAAGTCTAATTAAGCCTTTCCGTTTACCCGTCTATTTAAGGGTAAAATGCCGTGGAAAGCTTATGCTTTGTTTCTAGTTATACAGTAAGGGTCTGCTAGAATTTTAATATAAAAAGCTTATCTTAGTCTAAAATTATTTCCTAGGGTAGCCTATAGTTGCTAATAATATACTTTAAAAAAGCGTAGGCCAGATTTTCTGCTATTAATACTTCTTAGTAAGGAATAAAGTATATATATTTAGTTAGTTGGTTTATAACTACTAATATTACGTTATACTTTATACCTATTATAGGTTTAGTAGACTATAGTAGCTTAACTATAAAGTTCTATATAATAGATTTCTATACTTTTTCTAGTATAGAGAAACTCTTTATTAGTTTATATAGTGTGTATTATACCGGCTTATTCTTTATATATTTGCATTTATATATAATTTTCTCTATTAGTTTCCGGAGTTCGGGGAAATAGAATGTTCTTGCAATTCTTTCCTATATTTTTTCCACTCCTTAGTGCCTATGCACTAGTATACTGTAGAATTCCCTAATAAGCTCTTTTTATAAGGTTTTAGGTATAAATATCTTATTTTATAAGGTAATAATACTGTCTTAGATTTCTCTATATTCTTAGTTTATAGGTTCTAGGCGCAAACTTTGCCAGTTATAACCTGCTAAATCCCGGCTTTCTTAGTCTAGTTTCTAAGCTGCCTTAATTTATTTATACTACTTATTATCCTCGGACCTATAAGCGGCTGCTGCTTGCGCGTAGTTAAATTTAAGGGTTCCTAGACTTCTCTTTCTAAGTATAGATTACCTGGTTTTTCCGGCTCCTTTTATATAGTCCGGCCTTTGGCTAAGTGCATTTATATAAGTGTTTTTAGATCCCTTTCGGTATATAATCCTAAAATTAAAGGTTCCTAGTTTTTCTAACTATTTTACCTGTCTCCTATTTAACTCCTTTATTATAGTAAAATATATTAGGTTTTTATAGTCTATATACACCTGTATTATATATACCGCTTTTTTAAAATAAACCCTCTATTAACTAAATACTTCTACTATAGCTAGCAGTTCCTTATTATAGATATTATAGTTTAGCTTAGCTAGGCTTAGCTTCTATAAGTAGAACGCTATAGGATATAACTTTCCTTATTTATCTAGTTAGTTAAGTATTGCTTCTAATACTTTGTCCAATATATTACTTTTAATAGTAACTGGTTTCTATGGATTAAAGATTACTAATACTAGTTTTAAGGCGAATTGTGCCTTTAACTTATTAAATACGCCCTGCGCTTCTAAGGTCTATCTATACTTAATATCCTTTCTAGTAAGTTCTATAAGTAGCTCTGCAATTTTTAAGTAGCCCTTAATAAACTGCCTATAGTAATTAGCTAACCCTAGGAATAACTGTAGTTCTTTTAAATTTATAGGTTCTGGCTATTTTTAGATAGAAAATACCTTGCCTTCTTTTATTTTAATCTGTTCTGGACTAATAATATATCTTAGGAATCCGACTCTCTGCTTATAGAACTTGTACTTGTCCGGGTTTACTATAAGGTTATATTCTTTAAGTTTTTTAAGTACCTTTCGCATATATATCTTATATTCGCTTAGCGTTTCTAAGTATATAAGGATATTATTAAGGTATACTACTGTAAACCAATCTAAGTAGCCCCTTAGCGCTAAGTTAACTATTGCCTGGAATATTACTAGCGTATTAGTAAGCCTAAACAGTATTACTATATACTTAAAGTATCCGTATTAAGTTTTAAAAGCCGTCTTCTACTTTTCTCCTTTTCTTATCCTAATTAAATAGTACCCTTTATATAGGTCTATTTTTGTAAAGTACTTAGCCTTATATAGTTAGTTTTTAAGCTCGGAAATTAAAGGTAATAGATAGCGGTTTTTTATTATAATTTTATTTAACTATCTATAGTCTATATAAAGGTGTAGCTTGCTGTTTAGTTTCGGGATAAATATTATAGGGTAACCTGCAAGCAATTCCAATAGTCTAATAAATCCTTACTTTAGGTTCTTTTCTAGGTATTCTTTTATTACTTCTAGTTCGCTCTAGGCTAGTAAGTAGATTAGTCTAAACTGCGGTTGTTTGCCTAGTACTAGGGGAATATAGTAATCCTAAGGTTAGTACTTTAGTAGTATATCCTAAACCTTTTCTATAAAAATTCCTCTAAATTTATTATATTCTTCTGGCACGTTTAGTGCTTTTGCTGCCTTAGCTAGCTGCTGGCTGCTTAGGGGTTTAGGCTACTATTAGCTCGCTGCCCTGTTTTTTTCTTAAGCTTTCTTACCTCTTAAGGTATCTGTGTTAATATTTTATTTTTGCTTAGGCTTATCCTAGCGCGGGGTGCTTTTTAGTCTACTTTCCGATTAGATTTTTACTTTACTAGACTTCTAATTAACTTAAAGGTTGTGCTTTTTTAGCTATAGTATACCTAAGATTATATTATATCTTACCGTATCGATTATATCTATACTAATAGTTTCTCGATGTTCTTTAATCTATATAACACCTAGTTAAGTTTTTATAGTTACCTGCCCGTTGCTATATTATATAGGTATGCTATCTACTATATATAGTCTATAAGGTCTGTTTTTCTATTACTAGGAGATCTAGTTTCTCCTAACAAAGTTATAGGATATAAAATTTCCTTGCGCGCTACTGTCTAGCAGTACTCTCGCCGGGTTTCTACTAATTTTAACTAATAGAATTACGTGTCTGTAGTTCTAAATAGGAATAGAGTTAGGCTGTGTTGCCGGGTTCCTTTTTTTCTCTATAATATAGGCTTTTCCTACTAAAGTAGCGATGGTTGCGGTTTATATTCCTTTATTTTTAGCTGCTCTATAGAACCTTATTCTTAGCTGCTTTAGCCGTTCTGTTACTTAAGCGCCTGCTTGTTTTTTAGCTGTTTTTATAGCTAATAGTTTGCATATTTTATTTCGTAGTATACTAGACACAAGTCTTAGTAATATATTCGCTAGTTTTTACCTTTCCTATATTCTATTAGGTACTAAGGGTCTAGAACTATAGTAGCTACTTCTATAAGTTTATTTTTCTTACCTATAATATAGTGCTCTGTTTCCTTAAACAGTACTAGTTACGTAATAATATAATATTTTATCTAATATAGGTACTATTCTTAATATTTCTTATATATTATATACTTATCGTATTTATCTTTAATATATAATACCTAAGATATCTATCTATAAAGTAGGTGGTTTCTGTCTAGCTGTTTATCTTCCTTATTATAGACACCTATTTTACTAATAAAGTGTAATACCCTATAGATCTCGATTTTAGTTTATTTTCTATATAGCTTTAGCAGTTCCTGCTCTAGTTCTATACTAAATTCTCTGTTGCTAGACTACTTTTCTAGTTCGCGATTTTTATTACTATTATAATACTTCTTACTATTCTTAACAGGTAATTTATTATTCTATTTTATCTAGATATTGCGGCTTAAGCTTTTAAATATATCTAATTTCGCGCAAGTTTCTGCGTTAAGGGTTGGCGTTGTTGTTGTTATTCCTGCGGCTGTAGCTATTTTTTCTTCTTCTTCTTTAATAAGTTGTCCGGTATCTCTTCCTATAGCTCTTAGGAATTAGTAACTTGCTAGTTTTTTTAGCTCTGCGCCCGCTGTAGCGTTTTCAGCTTCTTGCGCTTTTTATTCTTTATTAAGGCGTGTAAAAATCTTTCTTGCGCTTTATTTATACGTGGCTACAACTCTATTAACCTATGCTTCTATATCTAGCAACTTAGTTTTACTGTCGGTTTATAGCTCGGGTATATTATTTTAGGGTTCTAATCGCGGTTTAATTATTTGGAACGCTTTATCTATTTTTAACAGGTAATTAATTTCTATACTTTTAACCTTTATATCTGCGTAGTAGTTATCTATAAAGTTGCTGTTATACTCTTCGTTTTTTATTATAGTAATAGTATATCCCCTTACCCTTTATATTAGATAATACCCTATTACCTACTTATTTAACTAATAGGTAAAGCAGTTATTATTATAGCACGCGGTCTATAATATAGAATTGTGGCGGTTTATATTTAGCTTTACTATAACTACTACTGTTTAGGTGTTTTTAGAGCACTTACTTACGAAGTATTCTTATTCTCCGTATAATAGGTATACGCCGCTGCGCTTTCTATCTTGCCTCTCTTTATTAGTAATTAGTCTACCCTTTTAGTTATTGCGTTATTTTGCAATATTAATCTCTATATAATCTCCGTAGTTATAGTTAGTTACTCTTAGCTTTAGTCTGGCTAGTTAGGCGTAGAAATAAAGTCCCTTCTTATCTGCCCGTTCTAATTATTGTTTATACTATTAACTATTAATCCGTATTACTATTTCCTTAAGTTTATAGAGTATTAAAGGCCTCTTACCTTATATAATTTTATTCTTAATATTTTCTTTAAGACCTCTATAGTATTATACTTATAGAGCTTTATCTTCCTATAATAGCTTAGACGCGATTTATATAAATTCTAAAGTATAGCGGCTAGTTAAGCCCTTTTGCTTTAGAACTACTATTTTCTATTCTACTGTCCGTTTTTTATCGGTGTCTCTAAAGGTTATTTAAAGTGCTAACTTAAAGTATCCGTAATTGCTAAATATAATATTAGTTTCTAGTTTCCAATTATCTGCGTCGGCGTTGCCGAGCCAGTCTATAAGTATTAGGTTAAACTAGTTAAACGCTTTTTTCTTTAAAAAGGTGGCTGCTATACAGACCTTATCTAATTTAAATTCGAGGTTGCTTTAGTTTATGCGCAGGTATAACCTTATCTGCGTTATAAACGCTTATAAAGCTCCTTTTTTACTAGTAAACTTTTTAGGTTTGTTTATTTTATAGCCTCTATAGCTAACCGCTTTACTAGTAGTAAGCTCTTTTTAAATAGTCTAGAAATTTCCCTATAAGGCTGCAATCTTTTTATCCTTAGTATTACTAGCTTCTTCTAGTACTTATAGCCGTGTAAGCAATACCTGTATACGTGTTGCTACCTTAGGTATAGTTAGAGTTAGTCTAGTAGTTATACTACCTAAAGGGGTTAGTAGGGCTATTTTAATTAATTGTTTATATACAACTCCTTTAATATAGCGGTGTTTAAAGTATAATAGGTTGTTTTTTCTATACCTTCTAAGTATTATATACTAAGGTAAAGTATAGGTTAAGTTGTTATTAGGGTGCAATAGTTTTTAAAAGGTAAGGCAATAATTAATTAAAATATAAAACGGGGTTATTACTTTTAATAGGTAGTATTAAAGTCTTAAATTAAACACTAGGTTTTTATTTATGTAAAGGAGCGTCCTTATATATAAAAGCTCCGTCCTAAGAAACCTTTTACTTATATAGCTTATAGCCTTAAACCCCTTAAGCGCTTACCTAGCTCGCTTTCTTAAGCGCTTACCTAGCTTGCTTTTTTAAGCTTTTTAAGCTATTATATAGCTCTATTTTTATAATATCCTATTTTTAGATTATTCCCGTCTACTAGCAGTTTATAGGGGAATCTAGGATCCCTATATATTCTATATATAACCCCCTTAGTTCTGTAACCTAGTTCTGCGTAATTAGTTTTATCTACTTACTTATCTCCGCAAGTACCGCTGCGCTTAGTTGGTTCGTATTACGGGTTGTAATAAGTGCCTAATAATAATAGATATTTTATTACTCTAAATTATATTCTTCTAGTTCTTTAATATCTAGTATTAGTAGTTAAGGCACTACTATAAGCGCTTCTTTTTTATTTACTTTTTAAGGCTAGGTTTTTTTATAGGCTTTATTTTCCGTATTTTTAAATAATTTCTTAGGATTTGCTATACTATTTAGTGCAAGATTTTAATACTTAGCTTAGCTACTAGTTAAGTAGTATTTAATTTTCTACTATACTAATCCTTTTAAATAAGCTTATTAAGCTTTATAATCTTCCTAAAGGTTTAAATAGTAGGCCGGCCAGATTTAGAGCTATTCTTAATATAGGTATTAAGAATTTTAGGGTTAGAAGAATTCTATTCTTAAGCCTCTGCCTTTTTCTAAAGATCGCGAATAGTAGTATCTGCTAGGCCCGTAATTTTACTGATTTCAGCAGTAGGAATTCCGAGTCTTTAACGTAAGGGCCTGCGCCCGAGTAGCAATGTCGTGATTTAATTTAGGCATGAAAAATAAGTGTTGTAGTGTATTGCGGTGTTGGAGGGGTTTCTTAGCACTAACGTGGCAGATTTTCGCCGCTAAAACAATAATCCGCGGCGCTAGCAGGGTATCCCCTTGCTAGCGCCTCCTTAGCGCCGCGGAAACTTTTGTTAAGCACGTCTGTACTGCTTGGCGTCTTCTTAGCCTCGCATGGGCGTCAGGGCTAAGGGGGTCAAACTTTTAGAACAGCTAAAACCACGCCGCTTTAAAAGCGGTCCGTGATCCCGCCATGTAAAGCGCCTCTGGGCGGAGGCCATCTGAATTAATCAACGAGACATCAAATTCAGCTCATCTCGATTGCGGAGAGAAGATGCTACTTGATCAACCATTAGTATTGTCTGGTCTGCGGAGCTCTAGCCTTCGAGACGTTTGAATCAAACTGCTTTCTCGGTGGCTAGCTCGTACTGCCTCCAGATAAGTCCCTCTGGAAGAACTTTCCACTGCAGTTCATCATCCAGCAAGTCTTCCATCTTAGCCCACTCGGCCCTCACATGCGCAACTTTCTCACTGTTCCTTGGCACGATCCTAGCTAGGAATGGTTTTGGCAGTACAAACAGGCCCTCGGTCAGGTCATCAGCATCTGGCGTTATCTCGTTGCCGTTGTCATCAAGCGCCTTTTGGAAGTCGAACGCCCAGAGCAGCCGCGAGATGGCGAGGAACAGCGACCTCTCAGCAATATGCATACCCTGGCACAAACGTCTACCTGCGCCAAAGACGAAATGATCGCGAGCCGCTGCGTTCCCGTTGCTGGCTGCTTCGGCTGCAGTTTGGTTGTCATGGGCGTAGCGGGAGGGGTCGAAGCGTCGTGGATCCGGATGGCGCTTGGGGTTCATGTGAATGGCCCAGACATTCCACATCACCCCAGCGCCCTTTGGAATCTTATAGCCCATGTAATCATCGTCGCGAATCACAGCATGCGGAACTCCAAGGATATCCGTTGGCATCCAGCGCATGCTCTCTTTTACGCAGCCGCGAATGTATGGCAGGTTTGGTTCGTCATCCATGGTGGGGAGACGGTCCCCGCAGATGCTGTCAAGCTCTTCCTGTGCCGCTTTCATAACCTCTGGAAACAGTATCATCGCCTGCACGAAGCCAACCAGTGTTGCGGCTGTCGTGTCAGAGCCTGCCTCGAGGAGCGAGCCGCTAACATAGCCGGCGAGGTCATCAGAGAAATTCTCCTCATCTTGGGCTCGGACTAGGTCGAGACAAAAGCATGGCTGGGCGTGAGTTAGTTGCTAACGCGTGTTGAATGTGCCAAGGCAGGCACTGGGACAGAAAAGAGGAGATGCGCACTTTAGCCGTGCCTTTTTTGATGGCTTTCTTGACATTCATCCAGTGACCAACGTACAGCTCCCTCTCTTTTTGGTGCAAATTCTTGGCGTATTTGCGCAGCGGAACTGTGAAGTCAGGCAAAATTCGAAGGAAGGGAAATAGATCAAGCAGTGCAGCAGTCTGGGTGCCGGTAACCTCGCAGAATTGTTCGAACCCCTGATGGAAAAGTCAGCAAGCGGCCGATTACGTGTGTAGGGCCCTACCTACATGGAAGAGTTGCTTCAACTTCGGGTCATCAATGCTAGTTGTGCGGAAACCAAACACCATCTGAGTGGTGAGGGAGTTCGTATACCGCCGAATGTGATTGATGAAGAGATTCGGTGTGTCCAGGAAGCCAATGAGCATGGCCTTGTTCTCAAGGTCCTGGTAAGGCACGTAAGTTCTGGCCGCCTTGATGTTTAAGTTGTTGTGGACTATCTTGCGAATCATGCGCCAGGTTTCGCCATATTCCTGAGGATGTTAGCTGAGGATATCTAGATGCTACGACTCGAAAAAGATCACTCGACATGCCATTAGCAGCATACGTAAACCGCCGCTCACGATCTGGCCAAGATACATGTCTGGACGCGACGAGTAGATAGCACTCCGCTTATCTAGCAGGTCCTTGATGGCCTGATCAGAGGAGAGCACGATCATGACCTTGGTCCCCAAAATGAGCGAGTAGACGGGGCCGTATTCTTCAGCCCATTTCTGGAATTGGAGATGGGCCTTGTCCTTCGGCATCAAGTGAAGATTCCCTATCAGTGGCCACGTTGGCGGCCCGGGAGGGTAGCCAGCGGGTCTACGGCCGACCTTGCTAAGCCGGTACGCAATGAGAGCCGTGAGGGCGAGGATGAAAGCGAGATAGGAGACGGGCATGATGGCGGGCTTCAGTGTGCGCACCGATGCTGGCAGCAAAGGGAATAGAGTACGGGCAGCCACATCAACTAAAAGTGATCCATGCTCGAGAAATCTAGCATCAAGGCATGCTTCCCGTTCTTCTCCGAGAACTTTCCAAGGACTCTTGGAGACAGGTGGGGTTGTGGGGTGGGCGAATGCAGTGCAGCGTGCAGGTGGTAGTACGTACATGATGCGGAAAGGAGGCTTCCGCATGTCAGCACTACTTCCGCGGCGAAATCACTGCTCAAACAATGCAGATTTCCTTCAAGTGGTAAGCGTATGACAAGCTTTCTTTATCATAATGCTGTGGTTGGTTCCTACGGGAAGACTGGCACGCTGGTCCCTTACACCAACTCCTGCGCGCGGGGGTTACATAGTGCAGACCCACTATCGGCTCCGCTTCCCAGCGCCTCGCGTACGGCTCCGTAGTCAATGGGCCAGTCTGCTGGAACCCTCCCAATGCCCTTGCACGGCTTTGTCATACTGCAGGGTAGAGTCAATTAAGGTTGGTGGAAGTTCAAGGAGCCTCCGTGGATCAATACCAAGCTCGCACGGGGCATGAAAACAGGAAACTAACCACTCGGGAGCTTTGCATAGCTGCACGTAAGGCACCAGAACGAGCTGGTGGTGAGATATTGACACGGGCCGGATGCAGCCACCGGCACAACTGCTTTCCCGTGCGGCGGGTTCCTTTGCGGCAAAGCGGGAGGGCAGAAGCGAGCTCCACGAGTCGCGCGGCAGTGCTTCCCCGTACTTTGCAAAGGTACGGCAAGTTACTTTTGCGGCACAGCGGGAGATGCGAGCCCTAGCCCTCCCTAGACGAGTCGGGCGGCAGTGCTTCCCCGTATCCGCCCCACAGACTAGAAGGCGTGCGTTCCGGCACAGCGGTGTGGCGGGGCAGAAACGAGGTCTTACTCTCCTAGGCCACCCATCTGCGACCTAAGAGAGCCTCTTGAACGCCTCCTGGCCACCGTCCGCGAGTCGTGAAAGAATCCGAGTCTGCATCTTGTTCGCTCAATCTGCAGGCTTACTACAGATGTAACTGGCCATGTACCTGGCAGACGAGGTCATCACGGCCCTACACAATACGCAAGAGCTACATCTACCATAATGATCCTTCCAAAGGGCGCGAACGGCTCCACTTAGTAATTCCTGATCGAAACATGTGTTACGGCTGCCCTCTCGCTGAGGCTTTAGGCTGTTTGTTACAACCCGTAACACGAACAGCCTGAGTACTGAGGTACTCGAGGAAACAAGTAAGCAGATTAGATTGATTACGCAAGATCAGATCACGGGACCTCGAGGAGCGAGGGCTGGCCGTATAGGAATCTTGGATTCCCCCACGGACTGCTGGTGGATGGGAACGATCTAAGAATAGGAGCATCACGGGATGAGGGTCACGTGATGGATCGAGCAGCTCGTGGCGAGCACGACGAGCTAGCTTGTGGGATTAAGAACAAGCGGATAAGCATAGCTCGCTGGCTTATAGGCGAGCCTATAAGCACACTTATTTATATAGATAGGAACCTTATATTTAACTTAAAACTTTAATACTACCTATTAAAAGTAGCTCTATTTTAAACCTAAAATTAATTCTACTTTACTATTTAAAATCTATTATATATTACGGTCTCGGGCGGCAGGATTGCCCTAGCTAGCTTAGGTAAGTAAGTAGAAGTAATAACTAAATTTACTATATATTCTATAATACACGGCAGGCAGGCAGGTTAAATAATAAAATATAGCTTAAGAAGCTATAAAAAGGCAGGGCAGTAGTTAGTAGGTATACTTCTGCTAAGGCTTGTATAGGCCCTTATAATAAGGCCTCTTACCGGGTCCTAATATTATATATTACGCTATATAGTAAGCTTTACTATTTAAGCCGTAATAGTACTCCTTTTTTTACAGCTAAACTTTATTAAGGCCTAAAAACCGGGCTTTTTAGGGTAATAGTAATAGAATAACCGGATAGCTTCCTTAGTATATTCTAGATAGTTAGCGGGCTCTTCTATAACTTTATTATATCCGGTCTACTTTACTATATACTTTAGGCGGAGGCGGCTATAACTATAACACTTCTATTAAAAGTTAATAACTTCCTTAACTTCCTACTTCTCTAAGCCTTCGACTTTAACTAGTAGTAGTAGTTTTTAACGCTGGCCGGGCAGCGGATTATTTACAGCAGGTTTTAGTAAACTAATATAGAAAATATTATAGTTGCGTATATTTTCTAGTAAAGTTAGGCGGTATATATAAGGGCTAATAACCTTTTCTACGCGGAATAGTTTAAAATTCTTCTAATCTAGCTTTTTCTAGAAGCGGAGGGTTTTAATATTTTTAGTATTTAACTAACGTATTCCACTACTAAGCCGGCCAAACTACTAAGCCGGCTACTTTTCCTTAGCACAACTAATACTATATGCGCGCAGTTAATTTATTCGCAACCAGCTATAGAACTTATATACAATATACTTAGATTAGATTTAGAAAAAGCTTCTTAATCCTTTTTATATATACGCGTATTATACCTAGCCTCTCTATAGTTTCTACAGCGCTGTTAAGCTAGTAGAGCCCTATTTGCACTATCTCTACTACCTACCTTTTTCCGTGGATTAGATGCTCTAGATACTTTAGCAGCTATATACAACGCTGCTGTACTATACTCTATTATACCGCTAGTCTGGATTCGCTTTCTTTTACGACCTTTACGCTTGGTTATCTCTGCTAGTTGCTCTTTAAGCTCTTTAACCCGGGCTTTAATAAGCATATTTTTGTATAGCATCTTTTCGGCTTCTTTAATAAGCTTTAAAAAGCCTTTTTAGGCGGTTGTTAGTAACTATATAAAGGAATTGCTTACTAGCCTTAACTATAATCCAAATTTATATATATTACTTAGGGTTTTTAATTGCTATAGTGTTTCTAGTAGGGGTGCTAGTAGTAGGGTCCGTAACCGTATATTAAGGCGATTAAGAACTACCTACGCGTTAATAGGAACTAATCTAGAGGCCTTAAAGGCCTTTTTACAGTTCTTATATATAAACACGTTAAAAAACGCGTTTTTAAAGGCTGGTAGAAAGCCTTCTTTATTAATATAGTAAATGCGTCGGCGTGCTAAGTTTTATATGCGTTAAGAGTACTTTAGCTTTAATAGCGAGAAGCATACTATATTAAGTGGCTAAAGTATATGCGATAAATGCGCAGGTATATAGAGGGTAAGGATTTGTTATTTAATGTAATAATCCTTAAAATCTTAGTTAAGGTGGCTCTTATAGCCGTCTAAAATCAGCAACCTATATAACCCTACCTAACGCGCCTTTATATACGTGTTAAAGTGCTTTAACTACTTAAGACTAAGCTTATTATTAGTCCAGCCGTTCTTAGAGATAGAAAGCTTCCAATTATATAGTATCTCTGCTTCCTTATACTATATAGAGATATAAACGCGTTCTTTATAGATAATAAATAGTAGGGTTATATATCCGGCAGCGCAGATGCTCTAGATAACCGTAACCTACTCTCGGTTGCCTAGTTAAATAAAATTAGGCCTTGTATATTTCTCTAAACCTGTAATAACCTTTATTATACTAATTATACCTATTTAAAAGCCAGTTTTATTAAAGTTGTAGATGTTATCTAGGTGGACGCTATACTTAGCTATAGTCTTTTACACGAGAGTAAACTACGTGTTAATAACCTCTAGGTTTTCCTAGAGTATCCTCTAGCAGTTCTTTACCCGATTAAAAGCTATTTTAAGCTCCTTTATATAAAATATAAACTGTTAAGTCTAGTTCTTGCCTACTAGTGTTCTACTATGCGTAGCTAGTACTTTATCTACTATATCTGCCACCTTATATAACTAGGGCGCAAATCCTTGCGAGTCTAGGTTAAGAATATATTTATTATAGTAACCACCTATAACACCTTACCTACTATAATTCGCCGATTACGTGTCTAGTCTAGCTCCTAGTCTAGATTATATCCTAGAACGTAGCCTAGATCACGTGACCTAGTCTAGGTTGTAGTCTAGGTTATAGACTAGATTATATAGCGTCGTCACCTAATCTCGCACGGAGCTCGCGAGCTTATGCTATACGCACGTTCCGCCGGCATATCTTCTCCGCCGGCGCTCTCGATTTCCTGTTCCTTACACAACGTCTTAATTCCCTATATAGTAACGTATTTAGCACCTAATTAAAGCTTCCTCCTAAGCTTTTAAACTCCTGCTTATAGCACTATTATAATATTATATTATGTTAACCTTTACCCTTATAATAACCCTAAACAACCCGACTGCTATACTTCTAAAGCTAGTTACCTCTATAAAGGAACAGCTTACCGTAGTATAATTTTTATTTATAGGAGCTCTATAAAACTAACAATCTGCCTTTATAGAAGAGATAGCAGCGTTATAAAAGGAAATTTCAATAATCTAGGAACACCGTTACGAATTAAATAATAGCTTAAAGCCTGTCGCTCCTATAAACTATACACGGACGCCAACTATTAAGGTTACGCCCCCTTTTTCCTTTAATACCTCTCTAACGCGTCCTAACGCGTGTACTATAAAATCCAACCGCCTACCTAACCCTCTAATATTTAGTAGACGCTGCAAGGATCTCCCTATTTTTATCTAAAAACTCTAGTATAAACTAGAATAGAATGCAGACCGATACCCTACTAAATAAGCCCGGCTGCTCTATACCTATTCTCGACTTAAACGCGACCTGTTAATATTAGTGGCTCCCTTAATAGATTAAGATATATATACTATTAAGCTACTTATCTAATTCCTACAGGCTACGTACGGCAACCTAAATAAGAAACTTACGGCTCTAAGCAGGTTATATTTATTAAAACAAGGAAAGCGGAGTTTTATATTACACTTCGCCGAATTCCGACGCCTTGCGGCTGATACAGGTTTGAATAAAATTGGCCTAATAACCTAACTCCGGCATTTACTCTCTAATAAACTCCGTTAAGCTATAGTTAGCGTTGCTATC